TACAAAATACAAAAATACAAAAATACAAAAAAATAAACCCCGATAAAAGCCGAATTAAAACCAAATATTACCAGCTGTGTTTCCGATTAAAATACTTTTAAAATTATCCCTACCTAAAATCCTCCCTAGGTCAGGCCCGCTTGCTGAAAAAGCCATGTCTTGAGGGCGCGGCGGAAAGTAAGGAGATCCGGAATCATCCAGATCTCGGGGGGTAGTTCATTCCAGTCTATCATGCAGATGTTAAGCAAATCTAGCTTTACCCATTGACCTTTGTTATGGGAAGTCAGCTGGGAAGGTGACAAATAGGGATTGTGTGACTTTGGAATGCTGCAACCATCATAAATACATGCCAGTTGCCAAGCACTCAGTTCTGATTATGGGACTGTGGGGATGCTGCAATGTCTTTAAATGTGAGGTCATAAGTCATAAGTCACTTTTTTCAATGCTGTTGCAACTTTGAATGGTTATTAAACCAATGATTTAAGTTGAGGACTGCCTGTACAGTCAATGTAATTTTAAGAAGGGCTCAAACGGGTGACCGTTACTTATCAGAGCAAACCAGGTTTTTCTGTGCAGAGCTTCAAAAGGGGGAAGGGGTTGTTTTGTCAGAGTTTTGACCAAAATACCCCTGTTTCGGTCAATTGATCAAAGGACTTCTATCTTCTGCGACAAGAAAGGAGAGTTCCAGCCATCTTGCGGAGCCAATTTCTTGACATGGCTTACCTGAAAGGGTTGACATCAATTTTGAAAGTCTAACAGAGTTCTCTCTCCCTGCACCCTTCGTACGCAAGAGAGTCAAGGTGGGACAATCTTGAGTCTCTTTCTCACCCACTCCTCTCTTTCTGAGAGCTAAGCTGGTATTTACATAACCCTGAAGAAGGAATGCATGGGCTGTTATCTCAGTACACTTCTACATTAGGGAAAAAACTGCAGGAGAAATTTTCCCCACCGCCTTTTCTAGGACAGACAACTAGAAATGTCTGTCCTACTTAGTCCATGAGTTGGCTGTGGGATGGTCTCCATCCAAATGTACAGTCCATGAATTTCACCACACTCTCAAGTTTTGGAAGGACTCAAACACAACAGTGTAGAACAGGGGTCTTCAAACTTGCTCCTTTTATGACTTGTGGACTTCAACTCCCAGAATTCCTCAGCCAGCATGCCTGGCTGAGGAATTCTGGGAGTTGAAGTCCACAAGTCATAAAAGGGCCAAGTTTGAAGAGCCCTGGTGTAGAATGTTGATCTTACCCTGAGAGGATTTTCATTGAGATATGGAGGTTCTCCTTCTACCATTTCTATTGCCATGATTCCTAAAGACCAAATGTCCACTTTGGGGCCATATGCTTTCCTTGTGACCACTTCAGGAGCCATCCAGTAAGGCGTCCCCACCATTGTACTCCGCTTACTCTGTTCAGGAGTTATCTGAGCACAGAAGCCAAAATCAGCTGCAGGTAACAGAAAATAGAAATGATTACTGTAGAAACCATACTGGTCACAGAACATAGAATATAAAATAACAGGGTTGGAAGGGATCTTAGTGGTCTTCTAATCCAACCCCCTGCTCAAGCAGGAGAACCTATACCATTTCAGACAAGTGACTGTCCAGTCTCTTCTTAAAAACCTCCAGTGATGGAGCACCTACAACTTCTGGTGGCAAGCTGTTCCACTGGTTAATTGTTCTCACTGTCAGGAAATTTCTCCTTAGTTCCAGGTTGCTTTTCTCTTTGGTCAGTTTCCATCCATTGCTTCTTGTCCTGCCTTCTGGTGCTTTGGAGAATAGCTTGATTCCCTCTTCTTTGTGGCAACCCCTGAGATATTGGAACACAGCTATCATGTCCCCCCTCGTCCTTCTCTTCATTAGACTAGACATACCCAATTCCAACAGCTAACTGTAGTACCTACAGTTTGGAATAATCTGTCCTTTGGACTGAGGGTAGATTTCCCTTGCTTTGTCTTTATGAAAGATGTTGAAAACAGTTGTTCAAGACCCCTTGAGGCAGACCTGGGCATTTTATGGCCTCCTGGCCATATCCATCCCTTTGACTGTCTCTGTCCAGCCAGTGTGAAGTTAATCGGAAATTAGAAATCAAATGTGAACAATTGTATGCCATACATGCAATGGAGCTGAATAGCTCAGTTTATTGTCTATGGAGATTTTCAATCATCTAGGTCATGATTGTCCCAAAAGTGCTTTTTTCAAAAAAGCAACTGGACTTTCTTAGTTTATTTGCTTTGAAAACATTTCGCTTCTCACCCAAGAAGCTTCTTGGAATGAGAAGCAAAACGTTTTCAAAGAAAATAAACCAAGAAAGGAAAGTTGCTTTTTTGAAAAAAGCACCTTTGGGAGATTTCAGCCTATTAGTTCGGCCCTCCATAGAAGTCCCAGTTTCTCAGATGCCCCCTTGGGAAAATTAATTGCCCACACATGCCTTAAGGTGTTGCATGACGCCTAAAAGTAACGACTGCCCCGAAGTCTTTGATTTGATGATTTCTTATCTGTTAAATTTCTTTAAGCATGGTTGTTTTATTGTTTAATGCTTCATAAATGAACAACTGAAAGTATTATAAGTGTGGCGGTAATACATTTAGTAAAATAAATAATTCCCTTTGGGCACCAATTCCTATTGATACAGATACACTCATGTGTGTATCATTTTACATGTTGCCCGGCTTTTAAAAATGGAATTTAACTGCACCCTTTGCTGTCTTAAATTTCTTGGACTGATTCCAATATTCCCTTACAACTGTTCATTTCCACCATGTTTAGCCGTCCATTAAGCTCTGGAAATTGGTGCTACCAGCGCCTTAGTTAATTCTTTTATAGCTATATGATCTACTATTGTCATCGATTTCAGGGATGGATAAAACAGTGCAAAGCAATGATTTAACTAAATAAGAGATACAACAGCAAACATCAAGCAATATTAAATCAAGCTAGTCAATGAAATCCCAGTGCTTGAGCGAATCAGCAAGTCTTTCAAATCTATGGTAATAATATCCAGATGGCTGAAAGCAGGAAAGTCCATCCCATAATTCAGAGTGCCAGGCTGTAATGGGCAGAAGGAATAGGAAAAAGAGGACAGGAAAAAGAGCCACAACCAAGATGATGATGGTCAGAAGAAAGAAATCAAGAGTCCAGAGCAGAAATGTAATTTGAAAAAGCACCTTAGACATGATCTTCCCTACTTCTTTGGAAGATAAAGGAAGTTTCAGGCACAAGCAACAAAACAGCTCTGAGAATGGGTCAAATAGACTTCTTCATTGTTGATCACCAGTTTACAAGAATCTTGCCAGATTCTGAATTCCCGTGGGAATGGCAGACACAGACCTCAGGGTTTGACCTCAATGTTTCCTCCTCTGAATTGACTCTAAGCTTCTTTCAACCTCCTCTACTGGGGTCTCCTCTACTTCAGTCACTGGTTCCACCACAAGGGAGGGAGGGAGGAAGCATGTTCAAGCTTGTCAGACTGACGTCAGCCCTTAAAGGCAGACCAGACCAGGAAACCCAAGTTACGAACACTAATACTATTTTTATTGTACAATTACAATAAAAGAGCTTTTCAAGCCTGAATGAGCTTTTCCCCTCCTTCTCTTTATCTTCATGAGAACCAATGAGGGTGTCAGCTGCCACCTTATGCTTCCGTGTGCTTTGCTGTTATGCAGTGACAGACTGCCATGAACTGTGGGCAGGGGAATGAAAAGGGGAATGCTTTGGGGGGAAACGAAAGTAAGTGCTGTATCTCCTTGAGACGCTGCCTCAAGATCGCCCAGCTAGAAGGAGAGGACTGCATACCAAATTGCACTTAGACTGGCAGTTATAAAAACATCTTGCATGAACCTGATTGGTTACATTGGGGTGGGCAATGAGAGATAGTTAAGGGAGGAAAAAGTAGAACTTAGGAAATTTGGCATGCGATTCTCAGTTCTGGCTTTGCAATACTGCAATACATTTGATCTCTCTTAAACTACATTTTTCTCAACAAGTGGAGCCAAGGATCATTTCTATTTAAAGGTTTAGGTCAGTGGTGGCGAACCTATGGCACGGGTGCCAGAGGCGGCACTCAGAGCCCTCTCTGTGGGCACGCGCGCCGTCGTCCCAGTCCTAGGCCTTCACTGGGTTTTATAAAACCTTTTCGCTTTAGGCCTCCGCCGCCATGTACAAAAAAAAAGGTTCAATCAATCAGTTAATTTCAATTTCTCGCAGGGAAAAAAAAGACCTTGCAAAGTTGGAATTGATTGATTGAACTTTTTAGTCCCACCCAGTCTGCTGTTACCACCGCAGCCATGCCCACCCAATGGGCCACACTCAGCCAATGGGCCACATCCACTCGGCGCCCGACAATGCATAAGTGGGCTTTGGGTTGCAGTTTGGGCACTCGGTCTCTAAAAGGTTCGCCATCACTGGTTTAGGTTGTGGCAGGTCTAACAGAGTGTCCTGTCTGAGTCACTTTCTCAGGTTACTGCTCTGCCCCAGATTTCTTTTATCTGACCATTATCTTGATTGTGGCTCTTCCTCTCATTCCTCAAGATTAGTCCTTCTTCCCCTTACACAGATTCATGAAACACACAGTGGTAGACAATCTCCCTAAGTCCTTGAAGATATTCCTATAAAGATGATGAGATAAACCCAACTAAATCTGTCTTTCATGCTGTAACTTAACCGTAGAAGAAAAGATTATTTTTGGAAGGAGATTTTTTACCATCTTCTTCTCTGGGAGAAAGCAGTGGTTGTCAAGGCAGGATGGATAGACAGCACAATAGCAGAGAGGGTATACTTACTGAGTTTCACAGATCCGTCCATCCCAAGAAGTATGTTGTCACTCTTGATGTCTCTATGGATCACTTGGTTTGAATGCAAGAAATCCAATGCTTGCAGGCACTAACAACAGCAACAGTAACACAAGAACGTATTTTAAAAAGGGAAGAGTAGAAGTAAAGAGCAATGTTTTGACTTCACAGGAGAAGCAGAAGGCAGTACAACTTTCAAAATAATGGTGAATTGTGGATTACAAGGGGGAGTGAACAGTTCTGCTTAAGAATATATTTCAACTTTGTCCTAGGATCATTAACTTTCCTTTTCCTACCAGATGGAAAGTTACTTTCAAAGTTCTCCTCCACCACCACCACACAATTCTTCAATTTTATCCAATCATACATCCAAGCAGTTGCTAGGAGTCAACACGGACTTGAAGGCATAAATAAAAAAGAGAAAGCCGTGCATTCATTAATCATATGATTTCCTTGCCCTAAACTAGTTTTAAATGAACATCTAGTTTGGACACAATCACATATCAAAAATAGTACGACTGTGAGAAACTGACCAGGTTAATTGCAAGTGCCTTGAAAGTGATACCACACTGGAATAGAAACAGGTTCAGTAGAATCTTAATTTAATAAGTCAAGGAATTATTGTTTAAAAAGGGAAGATTTACTTCATCATAAAGATATCCACAGATATTCTGTTTTCTCAGCACAGTATCTCTTACCTCCCTGCAGACAGCTGCAATTTGTCCTTCATCCATGCACGTTTCTGTAACCACATCCGTCAAGGAACCCCCAGCCAAGTACTCCATTACGACCCAGAGTTCATCTCCAACAAGGTAACTGAAAAAAAAATTAAAAATAGGATGCATTCACACAGTTATAGTTTAAGACTTTGCAGCAAACCATTCTGAATTAAAACATTTCAGGATAAAATCTCTTGAAAGAGATTTAGAGTAATGTTGTAATGTTATTGTATCAATAAAGGCGCTTTCCAGAATAGGTAACAAGCATCTCACGGAAAACCAGTGTAAACTTTCCAACAATAAACCTTTGAAGGAATCTGGCAGGATTTTTTTCTGATTAATGCATTTTAGGAAAAGGTGCCAGTTTTCAGCTTATGAAAGTTTATGCCTTTTCCTAGAACGTGTTAAAATTTCCTTGTAATGTTTGCTACCACAGACCAACACCGCCATCCTCCTACAATGTTTGTAACAATAAAAGAAAACAGGAAAAAGTCACAAGAAAAAAAAGCAACACTCGGGATTACTTACCTATCTAAATAGTTCACGATGTTGGAATTCTTATTTTCCCTCATGACCAGAATTTCATTGATTATTAATTCCTTTTTGGGTTGTTGCTGGAGATTCATCTGCTTTATGGCCACCTGGAATGATATCAAAACAGGAGGGAGGGGGTGAGAAAAATCATACAATAATTGCGTAATAAACACCCGAAAGCGAGGGCTGGCAGATTAAGGCGATAGCAACATTAAAGTGTCAAGCTGCGAAGATCGCTGATGCTGTTTCAGCCATTATTGCTTCTTAGCTTGCCTACAAACTCGGGGGGGGGGGCAGGGGGAAGGAGTGGAATCTGTGGATTGCAGATGCCGGTGAGAACCAAGGTTACTCAGAGATTGTTTACAAGATCTGAAGACTTTCTCTCATAACAACTGTCCGAAGCTTAATTGGACAATGTGACCTGCACTATTAGGGCAGAGGAGTTTCTGTACTTTTAATATACTGATTTTGGTGTCAATTGGTCAGAGCTGGCTTCCCTTTCATCTATGCTGAAGTGGTGTACTCAATAAAGTTTTGCACTGGAGATTGGATCGCCTCAGCTGTGCTTACTGCGTTGGGTTTGTCAGTCGGAACCATGACATTAAGTTTATATTTAAACCACTTTGCATACAATATCGGATTGTTAAGCAACTAGGGGCTCCTCTCTCTTCTTCTCTGTTTTCTAGGCAGCATCTCTTACCCCCTTTCCCCCAAATCATTCTCACATTCCATCACAGGTATTGAAGACGTTATAATTCTCACATGCAGACATTGATCATTATAAACTATATCCTAACACCCTTTCTTTTCAACCTGGGTCATTCGGACCCACACCATAATTGTGAGAAAATGAATTATGACAGTTTTTCAGAGTTACGATGTTTACAGAATCCTCATGTGATCAAAATTCAAATGCTTGGCAACTGGTTCATATTTATGACTGTTGCCGTGTCCCAGGGTCATGTGGATCCCTTTTTGTGACCGTCTGACAAGCAAAGTCAATGGGGAAACCAGATTCACTTAACCACTGGATAATTTATTAACTGCAGTGATTCACTTAATAACTGAGGCAAGAAAGGTCATAAAATGGGGCAAAACTCACTTAACAAATGTCTCATTTAACAAAAAGTTTGGGCTCAACCGTACGTCGAGGACTATCTGTATTGAGATGACACAGCAGGTGTCAGGCTGTAGAAGGCCTGGCTGTGGGGGTCCTAAGGTAAGACGTTCTCCAAAATTAAGACATAATGCCTCTTTTGGAGGAAAAAAATAATATAAGACCTGGTCTTAATTTCGGGGAAACATGGTATATCTACTAGAATGAGTTCTACAAATGTTGCTGGAACTTGGCTCTGGGGCACCTATATCACATAGTACATAATATTTTATTCTCTTCTCTTTCGAGATCTTCTTCTCCCATGACTTGATATACTTTTTCATGAAATGAAATGCTGTTGTTTTTTTTAAAAAAAATTGATTGTACTAAATAAAGCATGGTCTGCTTTTCCATCACTGAAGTTGCCAATTCCTACCCTGAATTGGTGTGGATAAATTTTAACAATCTATCAGTGTTTAGATATTTATGGAGATTGGCACCTGAGGAAGTAAGTAAGTGAGGGAGGGAGGGAGGGAGGGAGGAAGGGAAGGTAGAGAAAAGGAAGGAAGGGAGAGAGGAAAGGAGAAAGAAAGGGTGGGAAGGAAGGAAAGAAGGAAGGAAGGAAGGAAGGAAGGAAGGAAGGAAGGAAGGAAGGAAGGAAGGAAGGAAGGAAGGAAGGAAGGAAGGAAGGAAGGAAGGAAGGAAGGAAAGCTAAGTTTTGTTGTATGTCTCAAAAAGTCTTTAGTTCACCTAGGACACAAGCAGAAAATGTATATGCACACCATGAACTGCATCATCAGATTAGTGGTCCAAACAATGAGAATCTTGGGCTGAGCATATTTCCACTTAGAATGCTCAGTGCTCAGTCCTCAAGGTTTCAAAGCATAATAACTCCGAAACAAAAGAAGCATCACACTCACCTCCTGCCCTGTAGCAATGTCTATTGCTGTATAAACAGTACCCGAAGCCCTAAGGAAAAATAACAACAGTTGAGATGTCAGACATCAGCCAGAGGACGAGACGAAGAATAACTTAATTGAGCATAATAACATGAGAAAGATCAACAGGCTGCCCAACGTAACATGATTATGAGAACCACATCTATCCAAGCATCTCTACATTGAATGGGGATGTTTGGAAGAACCTGAATCCTCTTTCCATGGGGTCCTTGATGCTCTCTGAGTGTGGTGGTTTTCCTGCACATGTCTTTAGTGCTAGAAGATCTGAATTCTCTTTCCTATTGGCCTATTTTCTCCTAGCCAAACTTTTACAGCCTCCAAGCATCAAGATAGGACAGTGTTTCCCAACCTTTTGCTGGCTGGAGAATTCTGGGAGTTGAAGTTCACACACCTTAAGGTTGCCACAGTTGAGAAACACTGGGATAGGATGTGTAAGGATGGGAATCATCAGCATACTGATAATATTGTCAGATGAGCTTCCCCAGAGCTTTCATGGAGTTGTCGAGCACAGGAGAGAGAGAAATGGCCCCAGTGGCATCCCACCTGTCAGAAGCTCACAGGATGACTTCTCATCTCCACAGACTCAAAGCATCCACCGAGGAAGGAGTGGAGCCTTTGCCCACGACGCTATAGATGGTCGAGTAAGATATCGTGGTTTGGGGTATCAAAGACTGCCTGGAAGCTCCAACAGGACATGGAGAGGCATTACCCATCCAGGTCCCAAGAACGATCATGTACGAAAGAATCAACAGGATCTTTCTGGCCCTGAATGCTGAATGGAAATACTTAGAAGGATGCACAATGAGGGAATAGGCCTGTATGATCTTTGAAATAAAAAATTAAATTTCAATGCCAATTACATTTCAGGAAAGCCAGGATATTTTGGGGGGAGGGGGGTCAGGCCTATGCATTCACATGGCCCTCAAGCAAAAAACTGAGTAAGTTACGTACAAACGGGTAAAATAATAATTGATTGAAATTGTAGTTTCTTGTCTCTATGTATATGATTATATATAATTATATACCTATGGAGACAAACACAAATACATATCTATACATGCACAAACACATATGCATACATGCATACACACAGGCATCCTCATTTTACAAGGAACCACAACTGGGACAACAATTCCCACTGCTAAGCAAAGAGGTTGTTTTGCCATGACCATTACGTGACTCACTATAGTTGTTAATGAATTGCATGGCCCTGGTGGCGCAGCAGTTAGAGGCTAACTCTGCCCACTGCCAGGAGTTCGATCCTCAAGGGCTCAAGATTGATTTAGCCTTCCATCCTTCCGAGGTCAGTAAAAGGAGGACCCAGATTGTTGGGGGCAAGATGCTGAATCTGTAAAGCACTGTGAAGTGGTATATAAGTCTAAGGGCTATTGCTATTGTTAAGCAAATCCAGCTTTCCTCATTGACTTTCCTTGTCAGAAGCCAGCCCTGGAGAAGGTTGCAAGTAGGAATCACATGACTCTGGGATAATGCAACTATGCAGCATAAACATGGCGGTTGCCAAATGCCCAAATTTTGATCACGTGACCGTGGGGATGCTGTGATGGTCATAAAGGTGAGAACTTGATTGCAAGTCCGTTTTTTCAGTGCCGCTGTAACTTTGAATAGTCACTAAATGAAAGTTTGTAAGCTAACTTACAAACACTCCCACATAACACGCAGAGTATAGTCCTCAAGTTACAAACATTTGGTTAGTGATTATTTAAAGTACACACACACACACACACACACACACACACACACAGAGTGAGTTGAATACTGGCAGGGAATGTATCCTATATTCTGTATATGTAAAGAACTTTCTACTACAATAGAGTAATAGACATTTGTTGTTGTTAATTGCGAAGTCGTGTCTGACCCACCGTGACCCCATGGACAACGTTCCTCCAGGCCTTCCTGTCCTCTACCATCTTCTGGAGTCCATTTAAGCTCACGCCTGCTGCTTCAGTGACTCCATCCAGCCACCTCATTCTCTGTCATCCCCTTCTTCTCTTGCCCTCCATCTTTCCCAGCATTAGGGCTCTTCTCCAGTGAGTCCTTCCTTCTCATTAGGTGGCCAAAGTGCTTGATACAATACATTTTCTCTCTCAGGCTTTTTAGTATCTAATGTCTATGGGCCTCACCGTTTAAAGATTGATATTATATTGTAGTTAGGCCCTGCTGTATTTTACTTGTGTGCAACTGACAGATTGGATGGCAAATGTGATTTCAATACAGATTTTGTTATTTATTATTTTATTTTAGAATTTTTAATGTTTTCAACTTGCTCTGGTCTTTGACTGTAATAAACACCGACTTGGCTACAGTTATAAATTACACACCTTACAAATAAACAAAACACAAATAAAATAAACAAAACGCAACGAGAAAACGAAGAAACGGACTTTAAGAAAGATACAAAAATAAGAACTTTTTTAACACCATACAACATATATATATCATATGACACCAATGTAATACATGAGGGTCCATATGTGTGTTATTGCCTTGATTGTTTGTTCTTGTTTAATTAAAGAAATAAAGCCTCTGAGAGGAAGCCCGTTGCAAGTTTCGCCCATCAACAGGGAGAGGGAAAACAGATGGTGCATATATAAATTTCTAGCCTTCTGATTTGTGTTATTTGTGTTAACAAATCCCACCGAGGGGTAATTTCAGATTGGAGTTGTGCTCCAGTATTTATTTAAAACACCGTAGGCTGCTTCAGAAATCCCAAAGCTTTTTGCAAGAAAATTCTGTGAGATCCATGAGCAATCCTAACCCCCAGGTGAAAGAAATCTTTCTCTTTCAGTTGATTTATTCCGTAGAACTAAAAGTACAATAATATCAGTAACGACTGCTAGAGATATCTGCTTTGCTCAACCCCAACAGAACCGGAATTGTTGAGTGCAATTAAGCCTATCGGTCCCCTCTGTTCACAGAGATTAACTGGTGATAGATAATTTCCATTGCATTTTAATCATTCTGTTCTCAACTTGGTCTTTCGATCCAATACAATATTTTCACTGGCAGGGAATGTATCATTTTAATATAAATGCAAATGGAAATGGGATTTTTGGTGACTAATAGGAGTGTTTAATCCAATTTGTTTACATAAAAAAATTAATTCAGTGTATTCAAGGCTGTCAGGGCAGAACCATGGCTCCTGAGCTTAGAGGAGTCTGATTTGTATATTTTATTTAGAAAAGCCTGTTTACATCCAGGCTGAAACTCTTGGGGGAACTAGAAAAAAGAGATTTACAGGCAAAGTAAATGCCTTTTGAGATTGATTTGCGCGTACGGTTCCCAGTCAGAATTTATCGCAACGTGGTCCATGGGAAAAGCTACAGCAAGAACTGCTCTGTGCATATTTTCAAGGGCACACAAGCTAAACACATTTATATTTCCATCCCATAAAGAAGGCGACGTCCTGCAGACACATTCTAGGATCAATGGGAGCATAGCTCTCCAGGCCAAAGGTAAGAACAGCCAGGTAGTTAGCACAATTCTTCCTTTCATGCAGCATGTTCCACACAGGGTGGCGTGAGGGTGTCAAAATCTGGAAAATGGCGGACAGGAAGTGATGGTTCAGATTCCCAGGGCACGGAATGGGACCATTTGCCACAGCCAATTCTCTGTAGTCCACCCCTTGCCATGGCCAACTTGCCTTCGACAACTCATGGTGGTCAACTTGCCATAGGACAATTCACTCTGGACAACTTCGTGTGGGATACCCACCCCTGTTTCTTCGACATTATTACCATTTTTGTCCATGGAAATCACGGAAAGAAACAGTGGTGGATAATATTTATCACGTTGAATTATCGCACATGGAATTGTCTGAGGCGAGTTGTCCCGGGGCAAAATGGCCACAGTGAGCTGGCCACAGCGAATTGTCCTACACCTCCCAGGACCGCAGCACAATACCCATCATTTCGCTGACCTTCCACCACAGATGCGTCTCCAGTAGACTTCATCTCTGGGATCCATTACAGAAAAGAAACACCCTTTGCACAACAGGACATTTTTAGAATGCTTCAATATAATCTGGAATGCAGGTAGTCTTCGACTTATGAGCACAATCCAGCCCAAAATTTCTGTCGCTAAGGGAGACAGCTGTTAAGTGAATCACTGCAGTTGTTAACATACTTACAACCATTTGTTTAGTGACCGCGGTTACAACGGCACTGAAAAAAGTGACTTATGACCGTTTTTCACATTGCAGCATCCCCACAGTCACATGATCAAAATTCAGATGCTTGGCAACTGACTCATACTTAGGATGGTCGCAGTGCCACGATCATCGCCACATGATCATCTTTTGCGACCTGCTAACAAGCAAAGTCCATGGGGAAGCCAGATTCACTTCACAATCGTGTTACTAACTTAACAACTGCAGTGATTCACTTAAACAGCTGTGGCAACACGTTCCTAAAATGGAACAAAACAACTGTCGTAGTGAGCAACAGAAATTTTGGCCTCCATTATCATCATAAATTGAGGTTTACCTGTATACCACGGGCATATTCTCTTAATAATGATCCCATTAATATTATGAAATATCCTTTTAAAATATTTCCCGATTTTATAAACCCTTTTGGAAGAGGGTTTAAATCTATCTATGTCATACTAAACACTTAGTAGTAATTTGGTTGTGGGGCCATGCTACTATTTTAGTGGTCCATAAAGCCTCCAGGTTATAAACAGTACATCTCTATACCAGGTAATATATGATGGTCCATGTTGAAGAAGACTTGATGATAAAAAGGAAATAGGAAGAAAGGAATACTAACCCTTGGCCAATTTTTTCAAACCGTGTGTATTTCTTCTTCGGGTCTCCAACACTCACAATACTTCCTAAAATAAATAAGAAAAATAGACCTTGGTTAAAACAGACATTAAAAAGGCCTAGACAAAAGATGGTACACAATTCCCAAATAATTTTGGAAAAAAAAGAAAAGTTGGCTATTGTCAGAAATTCTTAGTCTGGAGAACAATAAGAATTAAATATTAAGGTGAGATTCAGTAAAAAACAGATCAGTTGTAACAAAACTTCCAAAACGAAGAAAAAGGCTAACAGTGTCACCCAATAGTCTAAAATGGCAAAATATTTATTTGGGTGCCACCTTTCAAATTTTGGAAAAGAAGAATTAGGACCGCACAATGCTTCAGTTTCAAAATCTGCACTTTTGGAATCAAATCTGAAGACCTGTAAAGTTTTAGATAAATAGCACTTCCTATAAGCTTGGTTTAAAAAAAAAACTACATTGTGTAAGTGATAAATCATTCCTTCTTCTCTGGCTGATGGATTAATATAACAAAGATATCTTATACGAAGTGCAAATCAAACTTGCTATTCCAATTTTTTTCTACACTGAGTATTTTCCCTATCAGTCTAGAATATAAACAGTTTCAGAAGGGATTCATAATTTGCTTCTCCCTAAATTTCCAAGGGCCCACTGCTTCTCCTTCAAATAATAATAATAAAAAACAATAACCATTCAATCTCATGAATTCACAAAATCTCTTGAAATTTCCACACTCCTACGAGATCTGGCAAGTTGAAACCTATCATTCCATTTTCCATTTTTGCTTGAGAGCTTCTGTCAGCTTTGGCAATGGGAATTATCGCAGTATTTTTGCAGACCAGCTCGTGAAGTATCGAAGAATAGAATAGGAAAGTCAGAAGGACTATAAACCTTGTGCCATCTGGTTAATTGCACGTCCAATGCAGACACCATGTGCAGCAGTGGTTGGGACAGATAATGCAATTCAACAAGGTAAAATTTGTTAAACTTGTTTGGTTCATCTATTTTTCCTTCTATAAGCGCACAAATATGGAGAGAGAGAGAGAGAGAGAGAGAGAGAGAGAGAGAGAGAGAGAGAGAGAGAGAGAGAGAGAGAGAAGGAAAAAAAGAAAGAAAGAAAGAAAGAAAGAAGAAAGAAAGAAAGAAAGAAAGAAAGAAAGAAAGAAAGAAAGAAAGAAAGAAAGAAAGAAAGAAAGAAAGAAAGAAAGAAAGAAAGAAAGAAAGAAAGAGAAAGAATACACCAGGTCCGAATATATCAATATTTCAATATCAAAATTTCAACAGCAAGTAATTTAGTTGAACACCAAAAATTGTATTATAATCTTTATACCTCTGAGTATCGTTTTCCTTCATCCCTTCCAGTAACTAATAATCAGAGAATATCCTTCTTCCCACCCCTCTTTTTATATCCAGTACTCTAAGGTATTAAACAATAACTAAATTATCTTAAATTAGATAAGTGTATTGAAATAACACAATGTATCAAGATTTATACTAACATAATAAAAGGGGGGGGAGATGTAAGAAGCGTCCCTTTTCTTTTACGGGTTATTACCAGCCATGATCATTTATTCGTCATTATCCGACATCACTGATTTCAGAAAAGAATTAACAATGATTTTGAAGAGAAACAGAGTCCCATAATATCTTTATAAAAATGGGTGGAAGAAAACAATGGAGATATCAGAAAATGTGGCTAACAAAGGAAAGAGGTATTGCCTAGATTGTTTTTTAAAAAAATCTTAATTCATCCTTAATTCTTTTCCTAATTAACCAGAGAGATATCTGTTAAGTTATCCAGGCTTCAAAAGCATGACAGAAATTTCAAGCAAGTTTTCCATCTCTGATTCAAAGCTGGCTCAAAGGAAAACCTTTGAGCGTGGTAATCAAGTGCCTATTACATTATTAAAGAAAGAGAAATGAAAGTCGACAATAATCAAGCAAGCAAAATGAGTTTAAAGATTCAGGGCAGGGAATCAGATCAAACTGAGCTTCATTAATAACGCTGCTCAGCCATAAATGTTTTGTTTCACAATATTGCAGCAAAATATCTGGCATATGGGTTGTTCCTATTGGCTTTAGTTTTTTACTTATGTTATACACTACAGAGTTGGCTGGAATGGAGAGGGAGGGAGGGAGGGAGGGAGGAAGGAAGGAAGGAAGGAAGGAAGGAAGGAAGGAAGGAAGGAAGGAAGGAAGGAAGGAAGGCTATGTTTTTTTAAAAAAAGGAGCAAACAAAATTAGAACTCAAAACCCTAATGGCTCATAGATATTTTGTGCAGTGATATGAAGCAGACAGTGGTCTGGAAAGGCCTAGTTTTATAATCGTCTATGGAGATTCTCAGTCATCCAGGTCAGAGGTCCCCAACCTTTCTGGCACCAGGGACAGGTTCCGGGGAGAAAGATTTTCCACGGATTGGAGAGTGCATGGTTTTGTGTGCTGCCTGCATCCCATGGATGGGGCTTTGCTTCTTTGTGCGGATCGGTTACTGGCATGCCGCGGCCTGGTACCAGTCCACGGACCAGGGGTTGGGAACCCCTGATCCAGGTCATAGTTATCCCAAAGATGTTTTTCCATGAGGCAACTGGACTTTCTTGTTTTTCTTTGAAGACGTTTCGCTTCTTGGATGAGAAGCAAAACATCTTCAACGAAAAACAAGAAAATCCAGTTGCCTTGTGGAAAAGCATCTTTGGGATAACTAGTTTTATAATCATTTCCAACTTCAAACAAGCAACATATAAATTCAGTTATGGTCCTTTTGCTGTACATTTCCAGCAGTTGGTAGTTAGGAAAAAATATCTTTCTAAACATGGAGATGCCATTTTGAAAGCTGGGTAGCCGTTCAAAATACATCACCTACACATTTTGAATCAGGATGTCTGGCCGTCATAAGCCCATCAAGTTATTTCAGTGATGCCCACATTCTAACATTGGACAAAAGTCTACTCTCATAACAGCACATGCATATTTAGTGTGTGTTAAGCACATGTAATTTTTGTACACACTTACCATGGAGTATTTTATATCCTGCTTTTTTCACACAATGGGACTTCTGGCCAATCTAGCTGAGGTTGTTAAGTTGCAACTCAATGGTTGCATTAAATGCAACGTTCTTCACCTGGTTCTTTAATTAAGTCATTTCCTTAATTCATGTAATGGTCTGAGCCATAAACTTTCTGAAGAGCTTTGCAAAAATAGAAATTATTTCACCAAAAGTAAAAGAATTCCCTGTGGATTTTACTCCGTTGCTTGTTACTGGCTGTAGTAGGCTGTGCTTATCTCTGTTTCAAGGCCATGGAGCCAACGCTGTCCGAAGACATTTCTGCGGTCATGTGGCCAGCATGATGTCACAGAGTGCTGTTACCTTCCCACCGAAGTGGTACCTATTGATCTACTCGCATTTGCATGCTTTAGAGCTGCTAGGTTGGCAGGAGCTGAGGTGAGGACGGGAGCTCACCCCATCATGTGGCGCTCGGGTCTCAAACCTACAACATTTTAACCACTGAGCCACTGTGCCACCCTAACCAAAAGTAAGCTTGATCCTTATTATGTTATGTGAGAACGCAGATGTTAGATCCTAGCCTAGCCTCATGTAGTTTACCACGTTAATGACAATCTAACATGTCACTGTAATCAGAAGACCTTAACAGTACTCATGGCTGCTTTTCTCAAGGTTTCATTCTTTCTGTCACCTTCCTAACTCCGTTATGCGATTGTGTCAACAAACAAGACTGCAACAAGAGGGGGAGAGAAATACTCACTTAATTTCTCTAGAATCTCTTCATCAGTCATCTTGGATTTCTTCCGTTGCCGATCTGTGTTTCTGTACAAAGTGCTCGTGTTTGAATTTTCAGGCTGGGGGATGGTGGACTCTTTCACTGAGGCTGGTGAAGCCACAGGCTCTATCACTGAACGAGTGTAAATCTGAAACAAAGAAACAAAGAGCGGAGATTGGTGGACCTCTCCCTAACAAATCCTGGATGACTTGTCTTCCAGATGACAACCAATGGCCTTCTTGCCCTTCCACAAATACTCCATGCCTTTTCAAACATTTAATTTATCCTTTGGGTGAGCAGGGAATGGATTTCAAGACTTCTAAGAGGCCTTTCCATTTATGACCAAATGCCGGAGGAAGAAGCCCTCTCCCGTCTTTTCATGCATTGACAAAATGTTGGCATTGCCAAATCAAAGACTGCAAAGTCTTGGGTCAACAGGTTAATTTCAGGGAATGGATACAAACCATTCTTTATCACAAAAAATTTCTTGAGATCATCAATAAATTTGGGCTTTTTGCTATATTATGAGTTGTCTCCTCTGAACCGGGCCTTGTGAATGGGAGAGAAATTCTACATTTAGCTACCTCAAATCTGTTTTCTTATATAAAGTAATCCTGGTTGGGCTTCAGATACAAACTACTCATTTCATTGGAAGGCCCGTGGGTGAAAGTGCTCTTTATCACCCTGTTGGGATGCTCTCTATTATTCCAATATATCTTTGTCTTTTTTACGCACAGAGGTCCTACTTTTACCCTCCCTTTTGTGTTGGTTGCTTGATAATGAAATCTGTGCTACAAAGGTAACTCAAACAAGCCAGGAACCTGGAGAGCAACACACTACCCTTCCCCTCAAGCTATATGGATTATGATTTTAAAAAAATAACTAAATTCTGTATCTGCTGCCTTTTTCTTCCCGGTCTCCTTCAGCATTCAGCGGTCCTGCTTTGATGGCACCCAAAAGATCTTACTGATTTAGTATGTTCTGGGCGTGGGGCGATCACAGGGGGTGGTTCATTGTCATCCTCCTCCTCTTCATCTTCTTCATCCTCTTCTTCAGAAACTGGGGGAGCCAATGGTGGCTCCGAAGCTGTTTTCGTGCCCTGAAATGCAGATAACAATGAAGCTCCAGCCCAGTTACAAGACTAAGCACCTAGCTCTTTAACTAGGTATCAAGATATTGCCTATCTTGATGTTTCCACTACCTTAATAGTATTAGTATTAGAATAACAGAGTTGAAAGATCATCTAGTCCAATCCCCACCACCACCCAATCAGGAGACCCTACACCATTTCTGACAGATGACAGTCCAGTCTCTTCTTGAAATCTTCCAGTGATGAAGCTACCACAACTTCTGAAGGGAAACTGTTCCACTGGTGGATTGTTCTATCAGAAAATTTCTCCTTATTTCTAAGTTGAATCTCTCCTTGATCAGTTTCCATCCATTGTTCTTTGTCTGGTCGTCAGGTGCTTTGGAAAATAGGTTGACCCCTTCCTCTCTCTGTGACAGCCCCTCAAATATTGGAACACTGCTGTCATGTCACCCCTGGTCCTTCTCTTCACTAAACTAGCCATACCCAGTTCCCAGTTCATATGTTTAGCCCCCAGCCCCCTAATCATCCTTGTTGCTCTTCTCTGCACTTTTTTTAAGAGTCTCAACATCATTTTGATAGTGTGGAGGCCAAAACTGGTTGCAGTTTCTAGGTGTGTCCTGACCAAGGCTTTATAGAGTAGTATTAGTACCTCACATGATCTTGACTGAATCCCTCTGTTAATACCCATCAATTCCAGGCCCCTTATGGAGCAGGGTTTCTCAACTATGGCAACTGGAAGATGCATGGACTTCAACTCCCAGAATTCCCTAGCCAGAGTTTAAGTCCACGCATTTTCAAGTTACTATGATTAAGAATCCTGATATGTTTTATAACAAACCCAGGACACCAACTGATTGTTAGGTATCATGAGCAGCAAGACAGAAAAAACGGTGTCTCTCACTTCTCTGGCAAAGATTTACAAGAGCACACCTGACCCAAATCACCTGTCCTTCTCAGCCATAAAGTTGTATAAAGCTATCGACAATGGTGTGACACAAAGAACGGATGGGTTTGTTTTAACGTGGAATTCTTTAAAGCCTGGGCTTATAACACTGTAAAACTACAGCCTATGGAAGTGTTGAGAAATGGGAATCCCAAACGATCAGATGTTCCTGCAGTGAAAGTTAATAGCTTGTGCAGATTGGCAGGGGTAGGAGAGGTGTTTAGAGGTACGGCTTTACATTGCTCTCTGTATGATATTTTGATTCAGAGTTTTCCTAATCTGAGCATTTCTAGATGGATAGACGATTTTCAAGAAGAGATTGGACAACCACGTGTCTTAAAAGCATAAGGTCTCCTGCTTGAGCAGATGGTTGGATTAGAAGACCTCCAAGGTCCCTTCCAATCCTGTTACTCTATATATTATTCTATAGCAATGGCTCAGCTGGCTGGGGAATTCTGGGAGTAGAAGCCCATATACAGAACATAGAATAACAGGATTGGAAGGGATATTTAGAGGTCAAGCTCCTTATATCGAAGCAAGAATCATGCAAATTTTAATCACAATTTAAACACAAGAATTAAAGTAAGCTACCGAATTTTGGAAATTGTGGTCGGAACCATCAGCTCCATTTTATTACATCTTTACATCTTGAGTTTTGTTCCTTTCTCAGCCTCTCTCATGCTGGAACACACACGGCTTGGGGAATTGTACATTCTGTTGTACCTTCCAATTTTTTTTCAATGCAGCCATGTTTGCAAAACCATCCTGTCTACAGAAGCATTTGTGCTCTGTAGACGCGTCTATTTCACAGAAGCTTTGCAATATGCCTCTCTTATCTGCTGGCACAATATGGTCTTTCTTGTCTAGCTGGCAGAGCAAAATTAAGTCACCCAACATGACAAATATCCCCGATCAGTCGTTTAGCATTAAAAGGAGGACGACTTATACATGCAATGAAAAATTAGCATTAAATATATTGGTGGATTCTCTTGCTAATATGCATTCTGCTCAGTTAAACAAACGTTGTCATGAAATGGATCATTTTTACCCTGGTGTATAGCAAATTAAGCCAGAAAACAAAGGCAATTCCAGAACGTAGAAATTCGTTAGCAACCGAGAGCGGGTACTTACCGAGGGATGGGCTGCAATATAGCCATGGGCACTTTTATCTGCAATGGGTAAAAGAAAATCTATGATGGTTTGGTAGATCATAAATGGTTATTAGAAATGAAGAGGGAAGAGCATTTCAGCTTTCAGGATCTACTTAGACGGTGAAGGTTGATTCTGCCACAAAATGAAGCAGCGTGGAAAACCTTTTGTTCAATGGATCAAGTTGCTAATTAAGCCTTCTTTCGCCACATTTTATTCCAGTGGCCATCCCACTTCTCATCTTCCTTGTTTCCATCAATATAGTACTATCTATCCCAAAGGTGTCCAACCTTGGTAACTTTGAGACTTGTGGACTTCAACTGGGGAATTCTGGGTGTTGAAGTCCACAGGACTTAAAGTAGCCAAGGTTGGACACCACTTGCCTATCCTCTGAGCTATTCCAATCTTCCTTCTTCTCTATATTTGCTATTTTTAACTCTGTAAAAAAGACCATCTGTAAACTATGGTTGTTATCTGCCCTCAAGTCAGTGTTGACTCCTAGTGACTACATAGATAAATGTTCTCCATGACAACCTCTCCTCAATGGTCAAAGGTTTTGTCCCAATTTGGACATCCAGCTGCAGCCTTTTCTTCTCACTCGTGATGGCACGATCTCCATGACCTTTGCTTACCTCCTGATGTAAAACTCATATATTTCTGGTTGTTGACCGTCTCTTTGGAATCGTAGAATTTGAGAACGTCCAGAACAGCTTGTGGGTTTTTCTTCTGTTCCAGTTTGGTAATGTTGGAAGTCTGTAACAGCCTGGCCCACTGCTCAGGAATGCCCTGCAAAAGCCCAATAAGACAGGTGAGGCCTCAGAGGATTCCACCCAGCTCAGGCTGATGCTCTGCTAAAACAGTTCCTTAACAAGAATCCCAGGTTACCTGTAAGGCTGTAAGCCGTTAAAGCTAGACAGTTTACAGCAGCTGCAATCATTCTCTCATCCTCTCTTAAAACAAAGAGCTAATACCTGGATCCAATTTAAAAACAAAAAAAACCCCAAGAAATTTATCATTGTGGCGAGGAAAAGAAAAGTGCATGAAATTCATCCTGAAATCAATTATTGCAGAAAAATGGAACTAATTCCCTGCAATTTCGGGTTGGTATATGCCCTCTCTCATCTAATTTTGAGATAAACACGGTGGACTTTAGGAACCTTACACTGGATATTTGATGCAGAGCTTAAAAAAATGTGCTTTCCTCAAACAATAAGAGCAGATCCAATTGGGATAGGAGATATCTCCTGGCTGGAGGTGTAGGAGATACCTCCTGGGGTAGGAAACACCTCCTGGCTTGGGACTTTGGGGAACATATCCTAGAGGTGAAAGGGACACCCCACATCTTACTTGTTTCATTGCACACCAACATTAGAGGCTCCCCCATCTGAAATAGACTATCATAGAATCATTTGGGTTGGAAGGGACCTCGGAGGTCTTCAGGTTCAATCTCCTGCTCAAAGCAGAAGACCTTATCCAGGGGTATCAAACTCAATTTCATTGAGGGCCGCATCAGCATTGGGGTTGCCCTCAGGGGGCCAGGTGGGTGTGGCCAGGGTGGGTGTGGCCTACTGGGTGGGCGTGGATGGAGTGGGTGTGGCCTACTGGCTGGGCATGGCCAGCTCTACATGGTTTGCATCAAGGGTGCCTGTGGGGGCCTGGGCAGGAGTGGGACAGATCTGAGGGTCTCTGGCAGAAGGGGGTGGGACCAGGGCAAGCACCAAGGCATGGTGCATTTCTTCATTCCTCACAAAGGGTGACACCTCCCCAGCATGCACCCAGGGGGTGGGGCCGACGCGGCAGGGGCTGGTTCCTCGCTGTTTCCAGACGGCCTTGTGGAGCTAAGACTGAATGCGTTTCAGCATAGATGGCCACCACAAAATTGTACATTGGCTCCCGGCCGGCCTGGCCCGGGGCCAAGCAGCGGGGGCTATTCCCTCACTGTTTCCAGGATGGCTTCACAGGCCACATGAAACCACATCACAGGCCGCATCCGGCCCCCGGGCCTTGTGTTTGACATGTCTGCCTTATACCATCCTGGGCAAATGATTGTTCCATCTATTTTTGAAAAACTCCAGTGATGGAGCATCCACAACCCCAGGAGGCAAGCCGTTCCACTGATTAATTGTTCTCACTGTCAGGAAATTTCTCCTTACTTCTAGGTTGGGTCTCTCTTTGACCAGCTTCTTGTGGGGGTTTAAGAAATGCTTCAAAACATCCAGTATAATTTCCTGCCCTCTGGCGACAACCTTTTTTTTTTTTTTTTTTGCTTTCTATGGCAGTGATGAAGACACCAGCAGCAGGTGGTTATGAGTGCCACCCTCACATTTATGCCACCACCACCCACCCAGGTGTGTCCCAGTGGCCCTCAATGACATTTTGCAACCCACGGCCCCATTCTCTAAATTGCCGGTTTAGGGTTCGATTGTTTTTGTTCTAAGAGGTCTTCTGCAAAAATGAGATGGGCTGATGGTGCTTGGCGGGAAGAGCGGTCCATGATGGGACAATGAGGAGGAAGGCAAGCAACAGACTCTACTGCACACACATGAAGCCTGAGATCGCAGCACTAAAACATCTCAAAGAAGCCACTTAGTTTGGGCCCGTGACGCACCTCAGACAGTTTCCCTGTATACATCTGTGAGCCACAGAGAGCTGGCTGCAATGGATGTAAATAAAGAAAGAAAAGAAAGTTAAAACAGAAGGTGGCGGGAGAAAAAAATCAGAAGGCGGGAAAGAGAGAGACTCCAGCGGGTCAATAGCTTTCCTATTCTAACTGAGGGAATAGCAAACACAAGGGGTCATTCACAAGTTACCGGGGAGGGGGGCAAGATTTTGAAAAAAATTTTTAAAAAAAATCTCACAGCCTAAAGTTGGAGGCATCATTTTCTTGTTTGGAAAGAACTGTGGGGCTCTAGCTAATTTTATTTCTGCTTTGAGGCTGACTAAAGAGTCATTCTACTTCATTTAAGTAGCCCTATAATCGGATGGACTGTTCGATTTTCAAAAACAGGAGAGATTGGGTTGAATAGAATGAGGTGTGGTTTTTTTTTTTTCCCTGGACAATTCTGAAAGGGCTCCATGCAAAGATTTACAGCACAGTTATAAAGAGGTTTCTTTGGAAGGGAAGGCCAACTGCTTCTAACAAAGCCTCAGGGAATGTGGGTTCCTGGTAGCACCTGTCATGTCTGGCCTGGACACCTCCTGAAAAACTATGAATCACAACAGGCTGGTTTAGAAAAGGGCAGCAAAATGCTTGCAAAACAGTTCTGTATTTAACTTTACAGCATAACTAGAATGAGCCTCCACTGCACCAAACCTTTGTCAGAACGATAGCTCAAAAAGGAAATGGCTGGCCTGAAATGGAAGTGTTATTTCTGTAATCTAAAGTTACACTTTCTTTTTACTTCTTCAGTCAGAACCAATTTAAATTTTCATTAAGGCATAGAGGGGTGTGATGCCTACGTGTCACCTCCCCTGGTGCTTAAAATCAGCGCTGCCTGGTTTTTAAAAATTCATTTAATATTTTTTTAAAAAGACAATCTGGCGTTCTCAACCCCTCTCTTGGGGAGAAGGGCAGTTTAGAACTATGAAATATTCATTAATTAATTCTGAAAGGGAAGGAACCAGCCTGCAGAAGCATCTTTATTTAAAATGCTTACGGGCCTTATATGGGCATTCTTAGTAAATAAAAAAATAGGGTACAGCAGGAGAAATTAGGTGCAAGTCCCAAAGGTGCTTTTCCAAAAGGCAACTGGACTTTCTTTGTTTTTTCCCCCTCGGAAATGTTTCACTTCTCATCCAAGAAGCTTCTTCACTTCTGCAAGCAAACTTCAGTTCTGTTCTGTTCCAAACTTCAGTTCTTCAAGGGAAAAAAAAAAACAAGAAAGTCCGGTTACCTTTTGGAAAAGCACCTTTGGGATAACCATGACCTGGATGATGGAGAATCTCCACAGTTATTAAGCCATGCAAGTGTCTTCTCGTGGTGCCAATGAAGTCTAACTGTGTTCTAAACTTTCAGAAGGTGCCCACCAGCACTAAAACTTGTCTTCCATAGTCCAAGAGACTATGACATCATTGCTTTAGTTCCAGATTGCTGGTATCTAGTCCAGTACTGAATCTGGGTCCTTCTGCATATGAAACAGATGCCTGAATACTTCAGGACTACCGAAGTTGGACCATCACTATGTATAGAGAAAACACTTATCTCAGTGATGGCGAACCTTTAGAGACCGAGTGCCCAAACTACAACCCAAAACCCACTTATGTATCGTCGGGTGCCATGTGGGCATGGCCCATTGGCTGGGTGTGGCCAATTGGGTGGGTGTTGCCCATTGGGTGGGCATGGCCCATTGGGTGGGCATGGGTGCGGTGGTAACGGCAGACTGGGTGGGACTAAAAAGTTCAATCAATCAATTCTAATTTTGCGAGATCTTTTTTTTTCTCGTGTGAAGTTGAAATTGATTGATTGATTGACTGAACCTTTTTTTAAGTGAAAAGGTTTTATAAAACCCAGCTGAAGGCCTAGGACTGGGGCGACGGTGCGCGTGCCCACAGAGAGGGCTCTGCGTGCCACCTGTGGCACGCCGTGCCATAGGTTTGCCACCACAGGATTATCTGCTCACTGAAATCTTGTGGTCATCCAGTTTTCCAAGTGCATCATGCTGGTCAGGCACAAAGAATCAGGACTACACATTAAATTCCAGTTAAGCTGATTTATTGCTCATACATATGCTCAAAAAGCTAGTCAACTATCGGTCAGCACTAAATTGAGTTAAATAAGAGTGAGATAAGACAGATATGTTAATGGAATTCAAGAGGGGTTGGACTTGAAGCGTTTGTGGACATGGAACGATTCTGGGCTGAGTTCTCTCTTGACTCCATCCCTAGGATCTGCCAATGCTTGCCATATTAACACCAAACTACTCTTTCATTCTCTGATCTTTCTTTCTAGACAGAACTTAAGAGTGTGTCTTGTTAAAATCCAGGTTCTCCCATTTAAGTCAAGGCAACAATATTATGTTGACATTGATCAAGGCCGGAAAAAGCTGTTTCCCCTACTCATCTTTCATCAACTTGTTCGGTGTTTTGTGTCCTGATTTTTGTTGTTCACAGTGGTGCCAAGCAACAATGAAATGGCAATGGGACATGCACCATCACAAGCAACCTCATGCCAGCTGATGTTCATGATTGAAAGCCAAGCTTCAGAGCGAATGTCCCCAGTTATGATTTTTGGATGTAGCTGTGAGCAGTGCAAAGCAATTCAGCCAGGGCAGCGATTGGGCCTGAGTGTCAAAAAGAAATAAAACACCAAACGAAAAAAAAACCCTGGGCACATTGCACACAACTCATGATGCTTAACACAGACAGAATGATGGCTACCCTCTGAAATGAGGGAGGAACATTTGCACAGGTTTAAAATATTCCCCCCCCCCACTTTAAGACAAAGAATATGAAACCCAGGAAAAAATTTTTTTTTTTTGCCAAAAGTCCTTAGCGGAAGAATCCTTGCTGCAATAAACTTATCATTAATTTTAAAAAATCAGATCAGTCCTACGGAAAAACTCATTTAGCAATGATCACAGTGTCAAAAATGTTTCAATTTTTTTTAAAAAAATCAGAAGGAATAAAAAGGAAGCTGTTTATTTTCATGCCTTTTAATAACAACTGGCCAAGACATATACAATATGGAAACGTCATCAAATAGTTGTAATGTATAGTCTATTGTGAATGCTAAAATTTAGTAACTTTGGTGATATGCAACAGGCATCCTAGTCAATTGGTAGTAATTAATTATTACAAAATTATATATAAAATTATATATATAAAAATCTGAATATATATATATATACAGATTTTTTTTATAGTCTTCAATAAAAATATTGAAAAATATAGGAAAGATAACTTCTAATATTACTATTTTTACTAGTAGTGTTAACCTTTTTTAATATTATATCAGCCTGTTCCATCAGATCTTGCACAGGGGGCCTGCTGTGGGTACCATTAGCCATGAGCTACATTTGGTGGGTCACAGGAGATGTGCCTTCTCTGCTAGGGTGCCAGCCTTATAGAATATCCTTCCCCCCCAAAAAAAATTAGATTGATTTTGATATTCCAAAAGATCTTCCATACCTGGTGGTGTGACCAGGCGTGGGACTCCCAGGTATCCAGAGACTTGGTTATATGCAGTTCAGAAGCTTTATTGCTCAAGTCTATACAGAGCAATCTAATCAACTAAAGTTCATTACTAAATTGGCACCAGATGAGGGTCAATGGAATTCAAAAGGGGATGGACTTGAACCATTTATGGCAACATAACAATTCTAAGCTGATGACACGCTTAACTCTGCCTTCCATCTCCGCCTGCTCTTCTCCTACACCTTCACTTTCATTGCATTTTCGTTTTCAGGGTAATTTTCTCTAGAGTCTTTTGTATTTGTATTTGCTGTTTTTATATTTTTTTAAAGCTATTGTTATACACTGTCCACAGTTGCCTTCAATGTGATAGATGGCTATATAAATTTGATTAATGTTTTTTTTTAATGGAGGGAGGATCCCATGAAAACAAAGGTGCGAAAGGCTCACAAAAGTCATAATGTGGTCTTGATTTAAAATACTCAGCACTGAATTTGGAACCTGCTTATTCAATAAGCCTATAAGGTAATCCAGCAATATCTAATTTCTAGAAACAATGGGATTGTGGAAGTAGGAGCTCTGGGCTCATAAAAAAATAAATTCTCCGGTGATTTTAAGGATATTCCAGCAGTCCCTTCCTTGCTGTAGAAATTGGCCCCTATAAACAACCATCTTAGAATCACAGAATCATAGGACTGCAAGGATCTTAAAGGTCATCTAGTCCAACCTCCTGCTCAAGGCATTCCTATCTTATACCATCTCGAAAAAATGTCTATCTTCTTAAAAAAAATATCCCGTGATGGAGCGCCCACAATTTCTGGAGGCAAGCCGTTCCACTGATTAATCGTTCTCACTGTCAGGATTTCCCCCCTTAATTCTAGATTGGATCTCTCTTTAACTATCTTAATGATCCACAGGCAATTCTGTTAACCAACATCTCCAGATGGAACAACCAGTCCTTTTCAGAATTATTCTCTCCAAAATTCCATTTTTCACTGAAACCCCCCTTTTTCTTGTTAAAAAATCTCTCTTTGAAGGCATTGTAAAAGGCTCAAGAAGTAACAACATATATGTTCCTGTTGGTGCATTTATTTGATCTACTTTCTACTTTTCCCCTAGAGCTTAAGGCGGTGTGCTCCCGCCCCTCCTGTTTTTTAAACTCTTTTGTCTTGAGAAATCATTTAATTATTTTCCCAGTGGTGCTAAGCAAGGAAGGATAATGTGTGGCACTCCAGATGTGCACGGAATCCCTGATCTCTCCGTCATCAGCCATTAAGACTTCTGCCACTTAATGCAGAAGAGGCTGCATCAAAATGGATTTGGACGGAGAAAAAAAAAATTGCAAACCAGCAAGACGCTATACGGCTGATTTATTTTCTGTGACACATTCTTCCACCGACTCTCCCCAGCCTGAACAGCTTAATGTCTTTCCTTGAGAATGAATCAAAGAAGGGAAGCCGAAGAGACAGTCTAGGCACCAGGCTAGAAATTGAGAGACCGTGAGTTCTAGTCTCTCTTTAGCCCTGAAAGCTGATTGGGTGACTTTGGGCCAATCACCCGGAGACTGCCTTAGCCATAAAAAGCCAGTTGGGTGACTTTGAGCCAATCCCTCTCTCTCAGCCCAAGCTACCTCACAGGGTCGTTGTTGTTGTTGTTGTGGGGAAAACAGGAGGAGGAAGGTGTGGTGGATATGTTCACCGCCTTGAGTTATTTGTAAAAATAATAAAGGCAGGATAGCAATAGATAAATAAATAAATATACCCCACAGTAGGGGGAAACGTGATTGGTTAAGCCAGCAGTAAGAAAGAAGCTCAGGATGTGCAAAATTGTGTGTGTGAACAGAGAATGTTCTATACAAGAACAGCCGGTTGTGGTAATCGCCACCTAAGTCTAAAGATGTATACTTCAGGTTTGTTCATTTGCTCTAATATTAGCAGCTTCAGGACTGGATGGGATATGGATGGGAGACCACCAGGAGTTCCCTGGAATGAGTTATCCAAGGGTGCTGAAAAAACACCCTAGAGCAGGCATGTCAAACTTGCTACGTCACGTGACATCGCGCAACGTATCAGGCCAGTTTTGCCATTGCCGGCAATGGGGTGGGCACGGCTTCCACGTGACGCATCCAGCCCGCGGGCCGGGAGTTTGACACCCCTGCCCTAGAAGAAAACAGTATGGCTGGCAAGGAATTGTGAGGGCTGAAGTCCACCCATCTTAAAATGGCCACGGTTGAAACACTGGCCTAAACAATAACAAATTCAGCAACGGCTATGTGTGAATATCCATTATGACCTCATGCTAGAAAACCACAACTCCCAGTCTCCCTTTTCATTTGGACATGTTTCCTAATCAATATCTGACATGAAGGTCAAGTGATAGCTGGATTGTCAGGGTTTGATGTTCAATATCAAATTACTCATGTATCCCATGAGCCGGATCAACAGAGCACATTTAGATTTTTTTTCCCTATAGTTTTTCATAGCTCATAGCCTTCTAGTGGGTTACAATAAAGTCTTCAGATCCATATGCCTAGATAGGTTTCAACATTGTCCTCCATTATGGTTTAGGATGAAGGCGCATGCAACTGTTATCTGAAAGGCAGACTCAATGTGCATTGAACATAACTATGGCAGAGACCCCATGTGCATACCTGTTCTAATGAACACCGAGCAGGTGGTTAGTGCTACCTCTGTTCTCACATCCGTTCTGCGTTCAAGAAATACCTGTACAGGACTCATGACTGGGAAAGGAAAGGAAAGGAGAGGAAAGGGTGTAGAAGATAGGCAGACAATGAAGCAAAGACTTACTGTGAATTCCCCAGTGACGGCATCAAAGCCAACATGGATTGTGTGCTCGAAGTCTGAAGGGAGAGAAATTTCAGGACGTTCTTTCTCTTTCTTCTTATTGGCTGGGGGCAAAATGTTAACAGCCATTTATTTTTCTGTGTAGTCATTTGTTCATCGATTTTACTGTCTGGTTTATTCAACGCAAGAAATAGAAGGGCAGGAAGAATAAAATACAATTGGATTCAAAAGGATCCTTGGCAATATAACCTAAGGAGCCTGATGCATTTATCTGATTCCGAAGCATTTTCTGCTCTGCTGCTTAACTGAACGGAAATACCAATAAAGGAGAATATTGGTAGCTCAGGCTTGAAATGAGGGGTCCTTTGTGCTCCCTGATGTTTCATTACCCAAACTAGGTAGCATCAGGGCTTTTTTTTCTCATAGAACACCCAGAACGGAGTTCCGGCATCTTTTTTGGATGGAACCTTGTAGGGTAGGCAAGGCGGGTTGTATGACGTATGTGAGTTCCGGCACCTTTTTTTTTTTTTTT